CTGCGGTATTATTTTTTTTTTCAGGTCTGATTTTCGCTTTTGCTTAAATAGCGCTATCTACTGCGAGGATCGTACATCATATGTATCTAATACCGCAGTTCAAAATATATGAACTTCATATATTTCATTGTGCCAAAAGAAAATACCTTGTTTAAATGTTTCTCTCTCCGTCGCCCTTACGTCAAATTAAACACGGTTCTGATTTGAAACGTTTGATGGTAGAAAACGTTTGGACCATTTTGTCAGTTTAGAAATTAACATCTTTCATCACGCCCTAGACACTACACGTCCTTGATATGTAAAATTTAATTAATAGCCGAGGTAATAAAACAGTGTGGCCACATTTCTAAACTCTCGACAATCGACTGAAGCAGGTTCAGACTAACGGTAAACTTGTCTGGAAATCCAATAAAAGTAATAAGGCCTTGCGTTTAATCCTTCTTAAAACAGATTAATGATGTGTTGCATTTAGTCGTCTGAGGGTGGAAAGGAGAAGTTTCTGATGAAGGTAACAGTTGAAAATTGCATCAACATTGCAAAGAATCCTATCATATCAACCTCTAGAATCCGACGGTCTCGATGAAAGGTGTTAACAGGAGTTTCACAAAAACAGAGTAAAAAAAATGTGAGACAGATTGCCTCGAGCGCGCGACAAAGAAAAATTGCGAGTCCCCCGCGATTGTTTTGAACCCTACTCCTACGGATTCGGCGCGCTGATGCTCTAAAGGGAGTTATTAGACGAGCGTGGAACACAAAGACATTTGAGTCTCGTTTGAGAATCAAACCCCAGCTAGTTCTGATGTTTTAATTGTATGCTAAATAAATAGAGCAACAAAGGACTTGCTTGCAAGCCAAACGAACTCAACTGTATAAATTTTAAACCAAGGGAATTTTGTATCAATTTTATTGCCACAAAACTCAACGATTTATTTTAGTCTATTGCGGTTTTGAAAAGCGTCGTTTAAAAACGTGACTGTTATCTCGTCCCCAAGCATCTTCCTATTTATAACTCCATCGTTTATGTTTTTTATGATTTTATTGCACAAGAAACAATGAAATTTGTTAGCCACGGCTGTTGCGGTTTCTACAAGATGGTGCAGTGCGTAGCCATAACATGGCACAGGGCGGAGCAGACTCGAGTACCCTTGTTGGCTTCCTTCTGTATTGGGTACTTCATCAACCGACATCAACTTCTACTTTCCATGAAATTGTTTATGTTAATTGAATTTTTTCGATCAAAATATCTTATCTTTAACGGCGTCATTCCCACTCGATTGATGTCAATTTTCGCATCTCATTCATTTTTGCTTAATCCAGAGCTGAGTGTCGCCGTCCTGAGTTATGATCTTATGCGATAATCTTTATTAAAACTTCCAGGTTCCGTTCAATGTGGCTTTGTGATGTTTATTAACCTTTTTCTGCGGCTTTAGGAAAAATTGATTTGCATATCATTCTTCACGACCGCAGTTACTAATCTGACGTGATACAATGGATTATACTCCATCAAACCCGTACACAATTTCAGCACAAAGGCAGGGTATCCATAAATGAATTCGAGGCCGGCTGAAAGGGCTCAGCCCTCATTTTATCAAATGGAGATGATTTATAAAGCATTTGCATCATTTTCCTGATTAATCTAGATGTTGTCGCCTGATAATTTTTTTGGAGTCTTGTGTTTTGACAGCTAATGCCTCAAGGGATTAGTGAATATGGACAGAAAGGAGAAATCTTTTACATTCTTCTCTCTAACCCTTTACACAAAATTTTTGCCCACAAGCGCGTAGAGTTCAGTTGTGGTTTTCAAATCTTCGCCAAAATTCAATTCTTCAGATTACCGCAGATTTCTGTGTAAAATGTTTGTTTTAAATATTCAGGGACTCATGATAATCCGCTTGTGGTGGGTTGAGACAAAACTCAAAGTAACTTAACTGTTGAGAAGTTGCGATTGCCAGACCTTTTCCCCCGAGAAATCTGCTTCGTGCTCATCTTTGAAGACGGTAAACGAATTTATCAGAATTGTTCATAGTCATTTATCAGAATTGTTTGTAGTCAATTTGGTCGACACTTGACTTTGAGCCCAAGAAACCCTTTCCATTTAATTAAGCACATGAAGCCATAACGCACAGTAACAGGAGGCTCCTGGCAGTAATAGATCCGTGCTCTTGTGCCAAACCGTACATCCCCTTCTAAAGTTTTCTGTCCTTTCTTCAGTAAATCCTAGAAAACAATTAGTTTGTCAAACCCCTTTGTGTAATTTCAAGACTAGACTTACAGATTCTGAAGAAGCTTTTAGTTTTATTATTCGATTCATCTCAGACCCCTTGTGACTCTGAGTTAGATGCATGCTACGTAGCATTTTCTTTGTGATCCTTTTGTGTGAATCAAATGTCATCCGCCTGTTTGATGAGCTGACCTGTATCCTCGGCTCTTGATGGCAATAACAAGTCACTGAAAATAAAACATAAAACATTACTTAAGTTATGTCTTCCTCGAAGTACATTTCAGCCTTAGACAAAACCTATTTCGATTGAGGCTTGGGTAAGTTTTCTCTGTCCTCGTAAAAGTGCTAACAGACTAAAAGAAAAAGAGAAAGTAACTTTGTTTGCAATTTGCGTTTTAATAATCAGGGCTGAAGATCTTTCTTTTAGCATGAATGTGGCGTTAAACAAACATTCATGCTAAGCAAAGAGGAATAATATTCAGAGCCATGTTTACATTTGGTCAGAGCAGAGCAGAGCAGAGCAAACCTCCATCCAACAGTCAAGTTGGTTTTTACCACTTTTTGAATCGCCTATAATCAGGATCATTTGGATCTGCACAAGATTTAAAATAAAAAAACAAAAGAAAACTTTCCTCCTCAAACATTATGTACTAGTTCCCTTGCCTGTTCACTCTTTGGCTTTGGTGAGGATCACAAACTTTGTAAGAAAAAAAATCACTTGGTTGGTAGCGGTAGCCCTCGTTAAAACGTTCCAAAAGCATATTAACCGGCTTTCCGTTCTTTAACGTAGATCACAACTATATAGGAAAATATTCAAACTTGGCCATGTTTTGATGTACTAAAATACACTTTTTGATCATGTCATTCATAACGGTATGAAACAATAATCAAGAAGAGTTCTCTTTTTAAACCTGCTCCTCTCACCCAGAGAACTGCTCTACCGAAAAGAAGGTTGAGGCTCAAAGGAAACTAGTTTTTCTTTCACAATCCTGTAAAACTTTCCTTTGATACTGACTGGCCATAGAGATAGAAAAAATTCTTATTTAAACTTGTCTTCAAAACTCCAGTTTTCTGAGAAAAAATTAAAGTTAGACTTGTCATAATAAGTATTAGGGTTTTGGACTTGCAGCCTGTATCCCAAATTCAACCGGGCAAACTATTTGCACCACGTTGGTTAATAGTAGAATATTTTTAAGTGTTTGGTGGTAAAAACAAAACAAAGTTAAGGTCCTTCTATCCATAAATTTAAAATTCACGAGAGTCTATTTTTGTTTTGAAGTTTGTCCACTGTGTTCTCTTATTCGATTGACCCTGAAAAAGGCCTCTTTGGACCATTTACATTCGACGGTTTTCAAAGACCTTTTTCTTTAATTTTCATGTACAGTACACTCTTCAACTCAATCAAACTCTAATTCCAGTGAATTTTTTTGACTACTACTAAACGGAAAAAAGGGGAACAGGTCTAACAGCAGCGAGAGTTGGCTGGAGCTAGCTCGCTTGACACAAGAAATTCAGAGTTGTCTGTATTGCCGCTTCAACAGAGAAAGGAAAGTAGAATTGGTTGATAATAAAGTTGAAATCTAGCGATTGAAATACTAATGATTGTCCCTCGTCCTTATAATATCTTATTTTATTTTTTTATCCGAGGAATTCCATGACATTTTGCAGGCAAAACGACAAAAAATAACCAAAAATTTCCACGTTCCTTAAAATTATCATTGAAATAATACTCTGACATATGCCTTTATGTTTTTCTTTGCCACATTTGCACAATGAATTTTGAAAGGCGAGGCACTGATTCAATATTATCAGAAATAGGACTGCCGTTGAGATTCTTATAAGTTTTTAAAAAAACAAGAATTAAAACAAATGTTCTCTCTGAGGGGAACATTCTGCCTTTCAGTGAAAGCTTCATATTACAAGAGGAAACTGAATACCCGAACCGTTAAGCGTTTTGGGCGCCGCGATATTTGTAACCTAGAACATTTGAACAGCTCTGTTCACTGAAGAGGGCTGATTGCTATTCGCAACGATAAACTATAGTCTTCATTGCATGCTTTTAAATATCTTATGGTCTAAGGTATCGGGATCCTATTTTTAAAGCAAACTTGAGCGAGACCAAGGCGTTCTTGCAAAAATAAATAACATTTGTGTTTACGTCGTCACCTCTGCTGTAGGGCAGAGTGATGTGGATCAAACGTGGCTAAGAAAGGCCAGAAATCAAAATTTCTTTTGGAGTTTAAGAAAATAGTAGCGCCTGAGTTTTCTACATACAGCAGACTGGCGTCCATTGAGGGTGATAACAATCGGGGTGTTGTTCTTGTACACGTGGTGACCAGCTAAATACACATCCAATTGTTTTGTTGTGGAGCTTTTATTAAGAAACACGATCCAAACGTTGTACCTCAACACGACGGAAAATTTTCAAGTGCTTTTAGCCAAACGGTTGTGGCAATGTAGAATCATCTCTTTGAGACCTGTTTTTAAATTTACAAGTGCACTTCATTTTGATATGAAATATTCTGGGCGTAAATCTGATACCTCGCGAATTAGCCGGGAAAGTCCTTTGTTAACCAAGACGGTTTGGTAAAACATGAAAGTCGTAGATTTTGAGTCCACTGAACGCTACCTAAGTACAATGGTTTTATTGAAATTTTTGTTCTACACATAAAAACAAATGATGTAGAATGCTTTGAACGGCTTTGAACGAGACACACACAACCAGCAAAGGTTAACAATAAGAAAACGGATTCACTGGTCAAATGTAACTCGTAATAAATATAATAATCACACTAACTACTACCAGTACATAGCTATCGAAGAAGTAAAGCTTTTCGGTAAGAAACCATTCGCTAGAATAAATCTTCGTTGTTGTCGCGAGGATTAGTTAAAGCTTACATGTCTAAATCACATGCTAGCTCAATGAGAATCAAAATTATAAAAAAAGCGATAGTAATTTTCCTAGTACCAACCCAGTATTGGCTTTTCTTTTCAGAAATTGAACTGTTAAAACTCTGAAACGGCTGAAATAAAACAATGATATTGTTGAGATGAAGACCATATTTGGGCAATAACAACACACTTGTCCACCGACATTTTACTTATGGTTGGGGTCCAAACTTTGCTGCGTCTTTTTCAAGTTCTTACGCGTTGCGTTTTTTTGTAAAAACATGCCACTCTTCCTTAGTTATTCGAGGACTTTTTGATTGAATGTTTTTGTAGTGTAATCCTAAATTCAAGTCCCTCTGTTATTAACCTTTGAAAACACCAAAACATAAACTGAATGTTCTTCTTGTAAGTTGATCTTGTGTAAAGCTTGCGTACATCCAAAATAAATTCAGTTCCACCTGAACTTTTGCGACAATTTTTGTTCTGCATGTCCACAATTAATCAACAGTTCTTTGAAAATAATCTTAGGAATTCAAACAAAGAGATCCTAGTCTCAACAAAAATAAAATTCTAAGATCATTAGCGAGAGACACTCGACTCCCCTGCCCATGATTTGTTAATGGACCCTTACTCCCGATTGCGGTTTTTGAGTTCGCTTGAAGAGCTATCAGCAAAAAGTGTTTACGAGAATGAAAATTACCAACAGCTTAAGTAATATATCTTGTTTAATGCTTGAGACGAAACATGTTTTTCTGAATTCAACAAAAAATACAAAGTTCAGGACTCATAGAGAGCAAAAAAAAATGTTTTGACCAGGTGTGCCAAATCCCCCTTCGAAAACACAAAAACCAAAACGCATGAAAATGGGTTTCATCAGTGAATCAACAGAATACGAATGTAAAGCCGCAGCGAACGATATTCGTCCGTCTAAAAGCATTTCCTTCACAAGAGTTCACTCGGGCTCTGAACGGGGATTCGACAGGACCCAGCAGGGCCTTGAATCAAGCCACCCAATCGCCTCTTGAGTCGCGGCAATTTACCCTCCGTGCGCTACAGCGGAACCGTCACAGTAGCAACATCTCGACTACTGGAACTGGTAAGGAGAAAGCGGTCATTGACCCTGTAAACCCCAACAGGCCAAGGAGATGTCTATGTCACATTTTCAAGATCTTCAAGCGATGCAAAACCTAGCACTGTCACCAGCACAATACGACGAAAAGGGGGTAGGTGCCGTATTGTAGATCTTGCCAAGATGGCAACCACTCGGCAAAGCAGAAGTTGTTTACCTGATAAGTATTTGGATTACGAAAAAAGTTTCTCGGATGCAAGAAGCAATTACTTCGTGAAAAGCTTCATCATTAATAGTTATGATAATTTTCAAGCATCAAAGATCAAGTTTTAATCGAACAAGACGATCGAAATATTACTAACATTTTGGCGTCTCATGAAAACTTGTCCATACTTTTTGAACTCAGACGGTAGGTACATTACACACTTAAGCATACAATTTTAAGTACAATTCTCGAAGTATCACTTGGTATTGTCTGATAACGATTCCGCCGCGAAAAGTTTCGTGACTTCGCAAGGTTTGTTTTTCAACTTTGAAGGAGACAAAATGGAGGGAAAATTAGCGTGTTGAGCCCCGATATCCGCCGGATTACCTCAAGCAAACTAACAACTAAACTAAAATCGAAATTGACTTAAACCTTTACAGGTTTACAATACACAAAGCGAAAACTAATAAACACTGTAAGCTGACAAAGCATTCACGGATGATTAATGTTCGATTGGCTTTCGCTCGTACTGTTCATCATAGCTCTGAACTCACCTTTAGGCATTAGTAAGCAGTGAAGATGGATTTTTGTGACCTAAAATCCGTAGTAACACGAGAACAAATGGCCCTTTGATTCGCCTCCAATTCCTAGACCAAACAACCCATTATGGTCCAACTGGAATTCTTATTTACCTGATATCACAGTTTTTCCTCCGCCACATCGGTGCTATGATTCAAAGATGAAAAGTAAACTTTTTCAACGGCAGTCAGTATTCATCTCAATCGCAAAGCCCCTCAGGTTCAAAACAAGGTTTCACATCTTGAAGTTTTTGTCGAAATAAGAGGTAGTTTGAGAGCCAAAATTTAAAGAAACAAAATGGTAAAAAAAAACCGCAATTTAAAAGTTATAATAATTTCTTCTCGTTTGCTTGGTGTCTTTGGTATGTTAAGTTTGTTTTCGGTCGCCTTTCATCCGCTTTCTTCAAGCCACTGTTCTGACAGACAGATACGGACATTTTGGACAGCTTTTTCGCTTTCCATCGCTATCAAATAACCAACCTCTTGAAATAAAGAACGTTCAGACGGCTTATCCTAGATACCAAATAAAATGGGAATATTCGGCATTAAGAGTCAGTTTTACGACTTGTATGAAGGAATAGAGCAACTCTGCACTTCAAAATAATTAGTCTATGATTGCAAAGCTCTGAAGTGTCCCACGTCCCCAATTTCGTTTTTCCTTCGAACAAGTTGATGTTAAGGGGAGAACGCTCGTACATCACCAGTCCATGAGGCCACTACTAGAGTCTACATTGACGAACGAAGACTATTTTGGCCATATTTGATGTTCTTGATCACTCCAGTGAGTGTGTTCTTGTTTTTTCCTTTCTGTAAACACCATTGGTGTCATTTATTCTGCGTCTATGTTTCAAAGTGCTCTTTGCTTCTTTGCGACGGGACAAAAAACCGATCGAACACCTCTCGCAAGGTTCATCATTCATTTGCCGGTAGAAATCGAAGCTCGCCTGACCATTCGGCTACCTCCTTAATTGTGCGGTAAATGTGCGTTGATCGCTACTCTAGAGAAATGTCAAAGCTTATAACTCAGGACCTTTTCAAATTTAAGTCAACACAACCGACACACGGCATATTAATAGTCATGGCGGCATCGACAGTCGAATAAAAGAATAAAACTATACTTAAAAGTGAACGCTTACCCTTGAAAAGAACCGCGTGTTTTTTATTTACTTATTTGAAGTTAACTTCTATGGGATGCGGCACGTTATAGCAGTCTGACAACAAGATAAATCGAAGGTAACTAGGAAAGGAGTGAGCCTATAAAGGTGACCGGGGAACCTTTCATAGCGTGAAGTGTCGACCACGCTTTGATTACATCCTCTTCGATTTTGCAATGAAGAATTTCTCTTCCAACATATTTACGCCAAGAATGGTATTGGCGCTGGAAAATGTACTAAAAAAATATACACTTGATGAACAACAACAACAACTAGACGGAAGATATTGTCCCTTTAGGAGAGAAGGCAAGATAGAAAGAAAGTTTATATATACACAGCCACCTGCTCGGCTGCGTTAGAAAGCTGAAGTGAGGATAAGGCAAATTTTTACTGAATCGTTGGATTTTTATACCTGAGATACAATCCCTCTTCAAGGTTTTTCTTGGAAAACCGCGCTAATTCAGACATTTATTTCATGTCGACAGATTTAAAAACTAATTGAAAATCGCGTTTTGCAAAGTAGTTTCAGAACCATCTTTTGTTGACAGACAGCCACCACATAGATTAAACAGCCGACAAAAGTGATTATCCAAAGCACACCCTTAAAAACTTTTACTTCGTATTTTGCGTTGGGGTTATTTCTATTAAAGTACATAGATATTTTTGTACACAGTGAAACACCTCTTGCATTCAAGAAAAGGCGTGGTGTGGTCGATCATTCAAGGAAAAGGAAATCTTTTCCTCGGCGAGAGAGCGTTGAATTGTTGGGCGGGAAGATTATTGTTTGGTTATCCCAAATTTACACGAAAATTTGCGCCTTGATCTTTGTTCTTGACGTAAATGACCCAAAATAATTTGGCACCGAATAAAGGATCGCCAAACGAATAAGGACTATACAAAGAATCGACCAAAAGTTAAAACACGAATTGTCATCATGCCACTCGTCATAGCGGCTATTATGCTCCGAAGAAGAGGAGCCGGGATATGTCACGGATGCAATATCCACTTCTCCTGCTTACTCTCCTAAGCTGTTTAGCAGCTTTATTGATGGAAAAAGCAAAGCCTGTTAATGGTATTAAAGTATGTTCGTAAAGCGTTTTCCGGTTTTTGGAAGGCCAACTAGTTTGACCGCACTTCTCTGCAGCCGACCTGAAGCATCAACATAATCGTCTGGTGCTAAACGCTCCCGGACAGTAAATTGACAAGTCCAAAGCTTTCTTTAATAAGCCTAGGTTAACCTTCGTTTTCCCGCCTTTTCAATCTTGCTGGGATAATTAAGAAAAGACAGTGCAAACTGAGCTATCAGCATTGCTGCGCTGTTTGCGATGAAGTTGTCAAAATCCAACCAGCTGATTGAAATGGGCTGAAATGGTGAACCATAACTTGGTGAAATCATTTCTTGGTGAAGCTCGTCGCCATTAACTGATTCATTTTAAGAAAATAACTCACAAATATGAAACCTCTGCTTTTAGAACACTGATTAATTTACACAATCTGTTTAAGGCCATAGGTATGAGTAAAGAATTTTCTTCATTTAGTTTTTCAAGCTGAAGTCACACCACGAGAATGTATCTTAAACACGAGATCCTTTTTTCGCTGATATTATTACGATCCACTTCGATGCTGCTGAAAAACTGTTTGAATTTTTTAAGGTGAACCTTTGTTTTACAGCTTTATATCCAAACAAATAGGATTTATGCGACGAAGTCCCGTTTGACGATTAAATTTAACATGCCTCTTTCGTGTGAAACCAATATGGAGGGCAGATGTCAACATGAAGGCCAAGACAGAGGGATACAGAAGTACGAGTTGTCAAATCAACACCAAGAGATGTGTGGAAGTAAATCAAACTCTAATTTCAAAAAGGTGTGGAAAACATTTTACCCGGAAAGGTTTTTTTCGCCATTTTAAATCCGTGTTGACTGACTCGTGTCTACAAACGGATGAACCTCTTAACGTTAGATATTGGCCGAGTTTTCATTTACGGCAAAGCTTATGTTATCTTCATACCGAGTCAAGAGATTTTCACTATATTGCACTGAGAAATCACATCTTAAAAGTCAAACGAAGCTGATCGAACTTGCGTTGTACAAGTAGATTCGATCGAGAGCAAACTTCCCGTTCAGCTAAATAGGTGGCACAAATATTGCATTAGGAAGAATATGCCAGTCTGAGAAAACTTGCTTCATCATCACCATTCGAGGTGGATTTCAGAAGCCTCCTCTACTAAGAGCACTTTAACATTTTCGATGGCTCCTGGCTGCTTTTCATAAAATACAAGTGGTCTATATTTAGGTGCGAGAAAAATCCTTACCTCGAATGAAACCTCCTCACTTCACAGGTCGTAAAGAGCTGAAATGTGTAATCCTAAACCGAACCACCGTTTGAGGTTTATTGAAATCATATGTCGTTCACAACGGTAGTCGTCAGAAGTATCGAGAGGTCGATTTCGAAATAAACTGCAGACGTTAAGATCAAAACGCAGGCTGATAAACGTAACGAAAAGGCCCAGCTGTTGACGAGAACCGAACAAACGATGAAGTGAAGGTGAGGTTAGTTTCATTGGTACAGTTTGTTACGGTAGGGAGTTTCATAACCTCTTTACTCTTACCCGCCATTATGCAAGGTTATGTTAGGGTCACGTTAAAATAAAAAATATGGGTATCTGTATAAATCTAAGGTGAGGAGCTTTAGTAGGAATTTGTACCAAAAGAATAACACCGGTACGAACCAATTTTCAAAACAAAGCGTCCAAACAAAAAGGTGAAAAGCCCCAAAAAGTTCAAACGCATTGTTTGCAAAATCGTAAGAATCGTCAGTCGCTTTTCATCAACGAAGCTCGTTTGATGTTTGTGTTGAAACGCAGGTAAGCAAGCAAGCGGAACAACCAGACTGAACACTACAAAACACTTCCTTCCTCACTGTTCAAACGCAATCCCGTGAGCGGTCTGCTATGACCGGTTAGCCGATGGTACAGCAGTTAAAGATCGTTGTTAGTATCAAATAGCCCGCGTCTCTTTGTTCTCAAGAACGATTTTATTGTTTTGTACCGAATTTGAAACTATTAAGATTTCTTTAACTGTTCGTTTAACGTAAGCTCCCTAAACAACATGAGTATCTTATTTTAGAAGTACTCGTTTTCACTCTTGGCTTTCAGTTCAAATCAATCATCTTTCTCTTTAGTGTAATCTCCCGGTCACTCTCTAAAACATGGCGTCACTACTCTCCCCTTAAAATTTCCTTTCGCCACATAAACTAAACACGTATCGTGCAGACATGTTTGTATACCATCACAGCATCAATTGCACCCTCTTTTACCAATATAGTTGTAATACAAGTCCTGGTCTACTTCCACGATGAAAACATTGAATCGTAGAGACTAACCTACTGTCTTCGTGGAGCTCCAGCGCCTTCTAATACCCCTCAAATAGCGAATAGTTCCTACAAACCGCGCTGCAAAGAAGCCTTCGTTCGCACTTATTCTACAGCGACTTGAAGCGCTTTTGATTGATGCCATAGTTAATCCTAAAATGCTTAAAATACCCTATTTGCTAAACCGCCGGTTCACCAGAGTGTTATGAAGCGCGCTAATGGACACGACATAGTTGTCATACCTTTGTTGTGAAATTGAAGTATGGTTTTTATTTTGCGACAACTCAAAGCTGTTAGCTTGATCACGGTCTGTCTTCGCAGATAGCGAACTCCAGAGATGTATAAATAAATCAGGTGGCAGTTTTAATGCCTATTAAAGGGGCAAAGGTTTTTTAATCCGATAACACAAACACACTGTTTTCCCCCACACGGCGGTAAAGAAAAGCATAAGAGAAAGAAATAAACAGCGACATGACACCCCGACACTTGGGCCATGCTTGTAATGACAGATTTCATTGTAAACTCTGGAGAGCAATCCTAATTTCATGCTTGATGTACAAACTTCAAACGGTCCTTTCAAAGCAATTTGAGTGTAGACGTTGCCTTGTCACCAACCGACTCGAGGTTGTTGGAAGGTTTTCCTGAGCGGCTTGGCCTTTACTGACCGTAAAGGAAATATCTTATAAACCCAACTACATATTCAAATGATGATATCAGGACTTCGAACCTTGAACTGGCTCTCTTAGGGAAGAAGCTAGGAGATCAACTTTTTTTATTGTACAAATATCCGTCTGAAATTTCGAGTTCTTACGACTTTTTTTTATCAAAACAAACTTGCTGGGTCAACTACTGAGTATTGATGGCGGAAAGGTCTATCGAAGCCGAAGTTTAAATTAGTGGCGAGTGGCAAAAATGCAAAACGTTTACCCATGCGTGACCAGACGACTTCTAGGCATCATATCAGACTTTGTGTTATTATATATTATAATGTGTCAAAACTTTCGCTGTTTTCAAGCCTCGCTTGTCACATACATCAACTTTTCGCGGTTTTAATAGTCGAGCAGTTATCACCCTGTCGAACGCTCTCATTCGCTGTCTTTCATTCGACGTTAAAACGAAACAAGATGTCGATAGAATAACAGAAGACAAGCCGTCAGATTCCGATCAGCGAAAACTACTGCGTTTAATAACAGGGGTCTGTGGTGCTGAATTGATAAACTATTTTGATGGAATTTTTTTTTCGGGAAAGGAATGTCAGTTGTGGTTTTGCTCTGTTGATTAATACATGGCTGTGTTTGGACCCAAGCTAAATTATTCACAATTCTGCTTTGTCGGGCTGCCTTAGTTTCTTGATCTACGTATTTTCATCTGGCGTAATTTGTAATTCTCTTCAAAAGTAAAAGTTTAATGATTTTAAAATTATTTTCATGCGGCTAATCATTGTCATGCGACTGGGTAGATAAGTACGAGGATCTAATTAGCAAATGTCAGCTTGGAGGATGAAGCTTTTCGCCAGAACGTCATTTGCTTGACTGCATGTTGAAAAGTGCGACAACTGGATTGACAAACATAGCTTCGTTACAGTTAGTTAGCTCAGACAAAACGTACACATCCTGCGCGCACCGTGAACTAAAACAATTCGTGCCGAGCGACATCGAAAACTGATTATGTTACAATGCACTCTGTTTACTGTGCAGATGAAACCCGAGGTGGCGGCCTAAACAACTCAGCTTAAGCCGTGCCAACACGCTCTGAAATTGCTTAAGGTTTGGGAGTCTCTTTGGAACTTAAAACTGCTGAAAAGTTACTCCACGTGGGATTAATTTGATAACGATAAAAAAATTATGCCGACAAATTTGTCATAACTCTGTCTTTTGATAGGAATGTTTGTGCCATCTGCGCGGGGTGCCGCAATGTTAACTTTTTTTTGTTTTTCTTGTGATTTTGTTTCGTTATGAGTTTTCGCCTTTGAAGGAACGCGTGATCCCTGTGTTTGATTTTACTGAAAGCCACTCTCAAGAATTTCCTAATTTTATTAACAAGCTCTCGCGGAAATTTTCTCTTGCAAAGAGGGAGCAAATAACAGTGTCTAATTTCAGTTGCTAATTATAAGTTCAGGTCTTGGATTCACCTCTCTTCGCCCGCCGCATCACGTACTTAATTTGCATGAGCAAATCAGAGATCTTTAGATTAGGCACAACCTGAACGTTTAGTCTACGACGGACGCCTTTCGTAGTAAACGAGCATTTGAAAAGTGCTGATGATTATAACTTGCAAAACAACGGGCAGACATGAACGGACAAGTGCGTAACACTGTTTGGCATGCTGTTACTACTGTCAGCAAACACACGAAGACGCTCGCCGCAAATTGTTCAGGATTACCCTAGCGATCGGATTTTGAATAGCTCGCAACTTTAGCTCACTTTAATGACAATGAACTTCACAGCAAGCACTGACAAGTACACAGTATCTTATGCGGTTTCAAGCATGTTCGCTTGGATGTGTTGTTTTTAGCCGAATGTCGCTCTTCTCCGCCTTTCTGACAGCTTTTGACAAAAGGCGTCACGTTTCTTCGTTATCAAACAGACAAGGAAATTGATAGTGAAACACAATCCGTCAAAATTACTTTCAATTTACGACAAATTCAATAACGGCAACCAAAACATAAAGGAGCAGACAAGGCGCAATTTTTTTGGTGTAATAACTTTAAATCCAAATTGACCTGCCTGTTTTTACATTTCCTTTGTTTCAGCTGTATTTGAGTTTTTAACGCGTTTATTAAAGTTCATTTTGTGTTGTTATAGAAAGCCTTTCCCAGGCAGGAACACTACAAAGCCAATTAACAGCAGGTGTTAGAAAGCTGTCAATCAAAGTCGACAATGGGTTGTTTTACATACTTCCCAACGCATCGAGACATTTGAAAATTGTTTTGTGTTCTAATTAAATGGGGGTGTGAAATTTGAAACATGCATGCACGGAAACCATGCCTATGGCAAGCCCAAAACATGTTTTTAAGAAACTGCCATTCATTCGGAGCTTTGGTGACACGTTAGAAATTGCACTCGATTACTTTGTTGTAAGCTTTTGAAAAGGATGACACGCCCCAGATCCTGCGTAAAGAACCACGATGGCTTAGACAATGGAGATTGAAATGTTTAGACATATTATTTGGCTTGGCGGATGAGATGTGCCCTGATTGGTCGGTCAAGCTAATTGGTTCCACCAGGTATTATTGAAAAGTGGCTGGTTTTATGAAAATACCCAGGAGAATTGACTAATGGCTTTGCCTCCGTTCCAAAGTACTTTGCGTCGTTCTATTTTAAGGGAAAAAGCTTATTAAGGTTTGAGATGCCCTGTCAAGTCAAATACTACGCTAAGTCCTTCCTGAATAAATTGACTTTTTCTAAACCTTCCTATAAGAGAGAATTATTTTCCTTTCATGCTCGGTGATCCTGATCAACCTCTGAATTCTCAATCACTCGTTACGTGACAAGGGCCCATGGAGATTTTGAAAGGTGATTGACAGACTTGTGGCCAAAAGCCACGAGACAGGCTTGACAATTCGTTACTAGTTGTGTTGACGGCCGTACACATCTTTTCCTTACATTGAGTTGACGGGTTGTAAGTTTAGAAAGCTATCCAACTGTGTCAGCCCTAAACTGATTGTCAGAATTCGGGATTAAACATTTGCAGCAATTTTACGATAACAATCCTCCACAAAGCGGCTCGTCACCCTGGAGTGGAGTGAATAAGCATCGTATGGCACAACGGGTCAGTAACCGAGCGTTCCGTTTGCCCGTGATGCCGGCTTCTTGTGGTGTGTGTGCATCATTTTATGCTTATTTAGCGCTGCTGTTACGCTCTGTCTTGCAGGAGACGTAAGCAACAGCTGACATGATCGTTTAATTTTGCAGCCTTATGATGAAGTGGGCCC